ATTCTTGATTAATTCCGGGAACTGGAGCACAGATCCAGTTCCCTAGATCAAGAGCCCATCACCAGCGTCAAGGAACCTCCCTTGAGTGGGAAGGTGGAGGCTGGAGCCTAGCAAGGAAGGTAGTGATGTTAGGTTAGGTTATATTAGGTTAGGTTAGGTTAGGTTAGGTTAGGTTAGGTTATATTAGGTTAGGTTAGGTTAGGGGTTTTATTAGGTTAGGTTAGGTTAGGGTTTGGTTTTGGTTATATTAGGTTAGGTTAGGTTAGGTTAGGTTAGGTTAGGTTATTTAGGTTAGGTTAGGTTAGGTTATATTAGGTTAGGTTAGGTTAGGTTAGGTTAGGTTAGGTTATATTAGGTTAGGTTAGGTTAGGTTATATTAGGTTAGGTTAGGTTGGTTATATTAGGTTAGGTTAGGTTAGGTTAGGTTAGGTTAGGTTAGGTTAGGTTAGGTTAGGTTTATTTGGTTAGGTTAGGTAGGTTAGGTTAGGTTAGGTTAGGTTAGGTTTTTATTAGGTTCGTTTGGTTAGGTTAGGTTAGGTTAGTTAGGTTAGGTTATTAGGTTAGGGTTAGGTTAGGTTAGGTTAGGTTAGGTTATATTAGGTTAGGTTTGGTTAGGTTAGGTTAGTAGGTTAGGTTAGTTATATTAGGTTAGGTAGGGTTTGGTTAGGTTAGGTTAGGTTTAGTTAGTTAGGTTATATTAGGTTAGGTTAGGTTGATATTAGGTTAGGTTAGGTTAGGTTAGTTTGTTAGGTTAGGTTAGGTTAGGTTTAAAATTTGATTAGGTTAGGTTATTAGTTAGGTTAGGTATATTAGGTTAGGTTAGGTTATATTAGGTTAGGTTAGGTTAGGTTTGGTTAGGTTAGGTTAGGTTAGGGTTAGGTTATATTAGGTTAGGTTAGGTTAGGTTTTTAGGTTAGGTTAGGTTAGGTTGTTAGGTTAGGTTAGGTTAGGTTATATTAGGTTAGTAGGTTAGGTTAGGTTAGGTTAGGTTTTAGGTTAGGTTAGATTTTTTTTTTGTAGGTAAGTAAGGTAAGGTGGGTTTAGGTTGGTTAGGTTAGGTTAGGTGGGAAGGTAAGGTAAGGTTAGGTGGGTTTAGGTTGGGTTTTGGTTTGGGGGTTGGTTGGGTTTAGGTAAGGTAAGGTAAGGTTAGGTTAAGGTTGGGTTAGGTTGGGTTAAAAAGGTAAAGGTAAAGGTTAAAGGGGGTTTTAGGAAGGAAATTTTAGGTAGGAAGGTTTAGGTTGGGTTAGGTTGGGTTAGGGTGGTGGAAAATTTGGGAAAGGAAAGGGTTAAGGTTAGGTTAGGTTTGGTTAGGTTGGTTGGGTTAGGTAAGGAAGGTTAGGTTAGGTTTGGTTGGTTTTGGAAAGTAAGGTAAGTAAGGTTAGGTAAGGTAAGGTGGGTTTGGAAAGGTAGGTTAGGTAGGTTTTGGTTAGGTTGGGTTTTTAGGTTAGGTTTGGTTGGGGTTAGGTTGGGTTGGGTTAGGGGTTTGGTAGGTTAGGTTAGGTAGGTGGGTTTAGGTTGGGTTGGGTTTTGGTTTATTTTTGGTTTTGGTTTTGGTTTTTGGGGGTTTTGGGTTTGGGTGGGTAAGGTAAGGTAAGGTTGGGTTTTAAGGCTGGGGTTTTTTTTTTAAGGTAGGTTGGTTTGGTTGGGTTAGGGAAAGGGAAAGGTTTTAGGTTGGTTGGGTTGGTTAGGTTGGGTTGGTAGGTAGGAGTAAGGAAAAGTAAGAAAAGTAAGGTAAGGAAAAGGTTTTGGTTTTGGTTAGGTTGGGTTTTGTTAGGTTGGTTTTTAGGTTGGGTTTAGTATTTTGGAAAGGGTTTTGGGTTGGGTTTGGGTTAGGTCAGTTGGGTTTAAGGTTTAAGGTTACGTAGGTTTGGTTTAGGTAAGTTTGGTTTTGGTTTGGGTTGGGTTTAAGGTAGGTATTAAAGGTAAGGAAAAGTAAGGAAAGGTAAGTAAGGAAAGGGTTAGGTTAGGTTAGGTTAGGTTAGGTAGGTTATTTATTAGGTTGGGTTGGGTTTAGTAGGTTGGTTTGGGTTTTTTAGGTAAGGAAGGTTTAGGTTAGTTAGGTAGGTTAGGAAAAGGAAAGAAAAGGGTAAGGTAAGGTTGGTTGGTTTTAAGGTTAGGTTGGGTTAGGTTAGGTTGGTTGGGTTTTGTCGGGAAGGTAGTGAACTCTACCGCCACCTTATAGTTGAAAATTAAGACGTTTTTCGGTAGACTAAAGGTATGTACCCACCTCCAGTTTTCTTCCACTCATGAAATTTTTAGGGTGAAGAATATTTCCTAACATCCCTGTTACTTCTGAATCTTAAACTTCCGTTGTGACCCCTTGTTGATGCAGCAGTATTTACCGGGCCCCACTGTCTGGAAAGGGGCCCCCCGAGCAAAAGGTATAGAAAGCGGCCCTGGGCCACTGTCTAAAAAAGGGCCCATTGGCCATGTCTGGGAAAGGGCCCCCTGTAGCTACTGTCTAGAAAGGGGCCCCTGGGGCCCAGTCAGAAAAAAAAGTCCCGTGGCTTTCTAGATGATTTAAAATACCTTAACCTCTAAACTTTTTTCGTGAACCTAAACTTTCCTTAACTCTAAAAGTCTTTCATGAAGTTGTAACGTGTATTCAAGATCTTTGAATACTTTTTAAAAACGGTAAAAAGCTGAAAAACAGCAACCATACCCAAAACGGCCAAAAGGGGGTGTAAGAATGAGGATGATAGGACGGGAATAGGACAGAACAAGGAAAAATTTTTATTGGTAAACAGGAAAGAAATATTAGAAATTTTTGAGGTATTAAATTTAGTGACATACAGTTCTTGAAAACTTTTTGGTATAGTATGTTTGAAACTGAAGGAAACTTAAACAAGTTTATGAGAAAGAAACAAAAAAGACGGAGATGATATGAAAAAAAAGAAGATAGCCAATTATTGACTCTTGGGTTAATTCGAGTCAATGATCCTCACCTTCCTACACATGTGGGCACATTCTTGGTCAATGTATGAAAAGGGGTCGCAGGGTTTTTGGGTTGACACAGTGCGTGGGAAACCTACAAAAAAGCGAATTCAAAATTTTTCAGGGTGAGGGGGCACACCCATTTCCGGGAAGGCCACATGTGGCCCGGGGGCCCGCGGGTTTGGGGGGATCCCTGATCTAATTATCCTAAGAAAACCAAACAATGGGGAAAAGTTTTTTTGCAAAGCGTTGGATACCAAGTTCGTCCTAGTATCTATTTTAAAACCCCAATGATCAAACGTCAGTAATTTAGTTTTTAAAATTTTTATTCTAGTTTAAAATTTTCTTAAATGGGTTGTGCTCTTATTCGGGGAAAATGCTTACATTTTAAAGGCCCCCCTTTGAGGCTGGCGACATTGCAGCCCGGGAGAGTGACAAAAACTTTTACGGCACACATAAGGCAATAAGACACCTAAACTATGGAAAGATTGAAGGCCTTGACTGTATTCCCTCGACGCAGGCGAGAGGAACATGATAAAAAACCTTGGAAGTCCTGGAGGGATTGGTACCAAAAACCCGCACACGAAAATATCCAAAAGAAAGCAAAAGACTCGGGAGGAATGAACATTCCCCCGATGAAAAACGGGGTGCCACAGTACATGAGAGACACCAATATTCGGGGCCCAAAAACGTTCAATTGCCTCCCCGCAAAAAAAGGGGGATTACCCAAAAGACCCCCGGTGTCTTCAGAAGGCACTGGCGGCACCGAAAGCAGTACCGCCAACCGGGTGTGGTTCGTACGTCGCTTGCGTGCGGCCCATAACAGCCGGTTGATAAACCCCTCCTCCCTGAGGCTGGGCCAGACCGAGCCCCGGGGGGGTTGACCCCCCGGGAAAATCTCCAGGTAACCTCATACCCCCCTGGGACGGTTTGTCATAAGATTACAGAGGGGCATAATGGGCAGGAATAACAAAAAAAGGCACAATTTCGTGATGGGAAAAATAACCCAAAAAGCCCGCACATAGAAGAGAGGACCCTTTCGACGACGTTTCGGTCCGACTTGGACCATTTCAGTCACACTTGTAAAAATCCAGTGTGACTTGTAAGGTCCAAGTCGGACCGAACGCTTTGTAACTCCTCTTTTCTATGTGCGGGTTATTTGGTAATGCGTCCAGGAACTGGACCCCAAGTTTTGAGAAATGAAAAGTTTCAAAGGAAGTGAATATATACAGTTTAATCCCGGTTTCAACTTTAAAGAATTTATTACACAAATTGAATTTAAAACCAAAATTTCATTGTAGCTTATATATGGGTTTTGAAATTATTTATGCCTAATGTTTCAAAGGGTATGTTTATAAAATAAACAAGTTAAAGGTACTTTACATATTGTTAAACTATGTACGATAACATAATTATTGTACCTGTATTAAAAAGTTTCTAAGTGGCGGTATTTTTTATAAAAAGGCAAAGTTGGGGATTTTTTTAGAAAAAGATTGGGAATATACCACTGGATATTGACCATTTTTTGTTTTTATCCTTAAATTGGATATGAAAACGAATGTATCAGACAGAAAAACACGTTAAACCATAGAAAACGGGTATTCTGTTTTTCAAGCACAGAAAAGGCTGCGTTCCGTTAGTTATCACGCGGGTGAGGGTTTTGGGGGGGTCCACCAGGCTCGTTTGGGGTCAGGGTTCACGGGTTTAGCAAATTCGGCCGCCCCCATATATCCGGCCATATTAATATATGTACATTTAAAATTTTTTTTTTAAACACAATCGCCGTTTTCCAGGAGGGGACGGTGACCTTCCCCCCCCCCCCAAAAAAAAAGAAAAAACCCAAATCCCTCATTCCTTCAGTCGTGTTTTGTCAGCAGCAAAGACAGCATAAAAGGATTTAGTTCGGGAAAAAAATTTTAAAAAAAATTATGACGAAAAATTTTTTTGGTTTTTTGGATAAACAAATCCCCAAAAATAATAAGTGAATGAGTTTGCTTACGAATGATAAAAAAGCATGCAGGGAAAGAGTGAGGGGGTGAGAGGAGAATGTTCCCCCCGGGGGCCCAGTTCCCCAGGAGGGTCGTCTTACCTTTTGTACGTCTACTGCCTCTTGATGATCCACCGCCTCACTGACACCAACCAGGTAACATTCCCTAACTCAGTTAATTCCTTCAACTAAACCTGATTATCTTCCATTACAAGTGCTGTAAACCCGGAAAGATTTTTAAATAATTCAATAATAATAATAACTAGTAAAACATAATAATAATAAATAAAATATCAACAGCAACAACAATAATAATAATAATGATGATAATATTGCTAGTCAACACAATTTCTGGTAAATATTACGGTGATTTTTAGGATAAATTTGTGGTAGTGATTCAGAATGTCATCGGTTTTGCTTGACTGGCTTGGGTCTTTGATAACTTTGGTATCCCACTGAAAAACTTAAAAGATGTGACAAATATTGATCAGGCGGAGCTAACTTACAAATCGCATTTAAATTATTTTTTAGATCAAACAAAAGTCGAATAATGTAATACAAACACTTCATTCTTTATAATAACTGATTAACGTATTAAGATAATTCAGATACCACTAATTACTATATGTGATAACGTTGTAAGATTTTGTTCTATGTTGATCATCATCACAGTTTTGTTGAACAACTGGAAGAGATGAATATTGGTCACCGTCGTACAATAAGACACATTTCAAGCTTCTAATGGAACTGTGTATAAACAGCAGTCAATCTCCTGGTCTATGTTCAAGTCTCGTCCGAAGAAGTAATCCCAGGATGTTATTGTAGTATACAAGTTCTTTATCTTGGCTTAAATAAGGAAGGAGTTCAACCTCTCTTGTCCGTTAAACTGTTATTTTTAACTTCTTGTTGTAGACACTTTTCTTTTAGTCTGGAAGATAAAAGTTGAGATACTTGCTTTGACAGACTGAGGTCAGGAATCAGATTATTGAGTTCTTCTTGGAAGAACTGTTATGGTGTTGAAATGCTTACTTAATATTCACTTCCACTACTATCGCCTGTGTTACATCCTAAACTCTGAGTTTTCTTCAACATCTGACAATGGAAGGTCAGCAGTGTTGTAAACACTGGTATGGTAACGTTCATTTCACTTGTGTTGGCCTGCCAGTTGATCCTTGCCTGACTCCTAACCAGGATATTCCCACTTGACTTTCTTGTATCCACTGAAACCTTTCACATTCAACATATAGAAATAACAATCGCAGTAATGGTTTTATGCTTCTCTCCAGCACCATAGACTCACCTAAGTTTAAACTTTTCACTTTGCCTATTTCTCCACTGTCGTAAGCATTCACACTGGACAGATACTTAAGTCGGTGCCGAATCAGCCGGGCTGTGGTTCGTACGGTGGACTTACGTGTTGCCAGCAGTAACAACCTGATTGATCAAACCCCTGATCCACCAGGAGGCCTGGTCGTGGACCGGGCCGCGGGGGCGTTGACCCCCGGAATACCCTCCAGTTAGACAGTTTTACAAATCATACTGGGAGCCCAAGACTTGTCTTGTTCTCCAAGCGTCACTCCACAATAAACAAGATAACATTATTGTACAATATCTGTGATATTTTATCTTTGTTACTGCAAACAGTATTCGTCTCAAATATAACAAAATGTATTGGGATTGTTTAATCAGACTCTTCGTGAAGAACTTATGTTATCTGGTCGTTGTTGATACAACTTTGCTTAAATATTAAGTCATAAATGAAGTTCTAATCTTTGTTAAAGCTGTGTGTATATACACAAATTGTTACTACATATACGTATGTAAGTGTTTATGGTGTGAAGGTAGGTAAGTAATGTCTCATAAACTAGAGTCTGGAATACCCTACCTGAAGGAGGGTATTCCAGGGATCAACGCCCCAGCGGCCCGGTCCTTGACCAGGCCATATCGCGCCAGGCCATCAGCCGGGCCAGACTTCCAGACCGGCCATGACTGTCCATATGGCCAGACCTGGCCAGTTGCCATGACTGGTCCATGACCGGGCCATGACTGGTCCATGGACCGAGCCGTGACCGGACCATGACCGGTCACGACTCAAATATCTTTGGCAATATAATTTTTATTGTTGACCAGTGTAATAATAATAATGATAATACAATAATAATAATAATAATAATAATAATAATAATAATAATAATAATAATAATAATAATAATAATAATAATAATAATCATAATCCAAGCCCTTTCTTCAGAGTGTAGTCACTGTACTTCCCACCTCCAGGTCTCAACTCCGGTTAACTGGTTTTCCTAAATTCCTACATAAATGCTACCGTGCTCCCTCTCCAACAGCACTTCAAACCGTTATAACCACTTGTTTCCACTTACTCCCATCTACTACGCTGACACTCTCCTGCTGGATGGCAGGAGTGTGAGATAGCGCCTCCCACGCCTGACTTTTCCCTTCTGCAGGCTACACAGCAGCAGAAGGCCGCCCTCAGGGAAGACATTCCTCGGTCGAGTGGGCGTGGTGCGGGCGGGGTGCTCCTCCTCCCCACCCACCCTGACGAAGCTACAACAGCACGCCCGCGACGCCACCCACGTCAGCACCAACCTTGCAGCCTACTACCACAACCTGCACCTCAAAGCAGCCCTCAAGAATATTATTTACCTGCCAAAGTACAACCTCTCATGGTGCCTTGTTGCCAAGGTCAGTAAACAAGGGAGAACCGCGGTACTAGGACAGTAGGCCTGCTGGTCCAGGTAGCAGGACCAGTAGGCCTGCTGGTCCAGGTAGTAAGACCAGTTGGCCTGCTGGTCCATGCTACCCAGGTCCTTCTCAGTCCCAGTCCATCTTACATATTTATTATGCCCAGCTGTTAACGTCGATAACGTCTGCTAACACACAGGTGCAACAGTTAGGTAGCTTTATTCCGAAACGTTTATCCTACACAGTTGGCTTCTTCAGTCGAATTCAAAGGAGGCAGCAGAAGCAGTGATATAAAGATGTAATCAGTCCATCACTCTTAAAGATGTAGTGCTGAGGTGGTCAGTCTCTCAGCCTGGAGAAGAGTGGAGACTTGTATACTGTCAAGGTGAGGAGGAGAAAAACTGCGCCTCACCTCGACAGTATATGTCTACATACTTTTGCTTCAGCTCCACATTATTCCAGACTATGAAGCAAAACTCTTCTCCAGGCTGAGGGATTGACTACCTCAGCACTACGTCTTCAAGAGTAATTGACTGATTACATCGTCTTTTCATCTCTACTGCCTCCTTTGTATTTGACTGAAGAAGCCTACTGTGTAGGCGAAACGTTTCTGAATAAAGGTACCTAACTGCTGCACCTGTGTGTTACTTATCAACTTGTCGGTATTGTATACCATCATACTTAACAATTTGTTCCAACCATCCACAACTCTATTGCCAAGCTAGTATTTTCCTATATATTTTCAGTTTAAATTTATCCAACCTGAATCTATTAAAGGTCAAAGATTGTTACGATCAGCAAAGTTCAACATTGCGTAAACAGCTACCAACAACCTGGCTGGTCAGACACTGCGACGCGAATAGCAAACGGAGCATCGAGAATCATCCACCCCTTATGCTCAACGACTTCCAAAGGGTTTACCACTTAATGGAATACAAATTCAAGATTATCATATAAGGGCCTCAGTGTAGGGCAGTCAGTGTTTTCAGTTATATATATATATATATATATATATATATATATATATATATATATATATATATATATAATATAATATATATGTATATATATATTATATATATATATATATATAATATATATATATATATATATTATATATATATATATATATATGTATATATATATATAATATATATAAAATATATATAATATATATATATATATATAATATATATATATATATATATAATATATATATATATATGTCGTGCCGAATAGGCAGAACTTGCGATCTTGGCTTAAATAGCAGCGTTCATCTTGCCATATAGGACAAGTGAAAATTTGAGTATGCAATAATTTCGCCAAAATCATTCTGGACCTAACGAAAAAAATATATTTCACTGTGTTTGTTTTAGTATTAAATTATTGTAAACAAATCTAAAATATATTTAGTTGGGTTAGGCTAAAATAAATTTCTCTTGATATAATAAGGTTAGGTAAGTTTTCTAAGTTCCTTTTGGTGCAAAATTATAAATTTTTGCATCAACATTAATGAAAAAAATATGTCTTTAAACGTATAAGAGAAAATTTTAGAAAGAACTTAATTTTAAATGAGTTCTTGCTAATTGACCAGTTTTACATATTCGGCACGACATATATATATATATATAAATATATATATATATATATATATATATATATATAATATGTTAATGTGAACTCTAAACCCGTTTAAGGAGTGGTGGTACAATTTTATTCACCCAGGTGTTATTAATTATAGTTGCACTCACCTAGGTGTTATTTAGTTGTACTCACCTAGGTGCTATTACGTTACAATTTGGGATAGAACTGAAGATTTATTTCATGGGGAGCGCTAAACACTTAAGTTATACACTGCCCAGGGAATGGGAGGTAATCAGATCAGACTAAAGGGAGAGTGTAGCTCCAATTCCCTGGATTACGAGCTCTTCACCGGCATAAGCTCAACCCTCTTGAAGTACCCAACTTATCGTGACCTTTGACCTCGTCTTCCAGGTGGCCTCCACCTCCTGGACCAAGGCACTGCTTGACCTCCGAGGCATCATAGGTGACGAGTACAGTGACCCGCCGCTGCAAGTGGTCCTCAGACAAGCTTTCAGGTGAGATGAGACTCAGTGCGGTGCTTTGTTTAGAAAACATTTCACTGACACGAAATCGTAATATCACGATTGTAAACAAACCAGGGAACGGGTGGGGACTGAACCCAGTGACTTACGTACTGGACTGGAGTCTTAGGACTCACTTGCCACGGGTTCAATTCCGTTAACCAAATATTAACCAAACCCGTTCCGTGGTTTGGTTAACATTTTCCTGGTTGTGTTACGAAGTGATAAGGAAGTCTAAGTGATGTAGACTCGTGTTAAAAACGAGGCAAAAAAAAAAAAAAAAAAAAAAAAGACGTGTAGCATAATACTAGGATATAACGGAAAACAGACAGAAACGTTTTGTAATATGTCCCAGTCTTTGTTCACGTGTCTTTTTAAACTACTTTTCGGTATCAGTGACCGGGGTTTGTGCCCCGTGTGCAACACTTCGGTATCTTTATCAACGACAGGTTACGCCCGCCTAGCAGGGTTCTCTGTCATTATTATGGGGGAACGCTAAACCCGTAGGGCTTATACAGCGACTGTGATAGGGGCGGGGTGGAGGGGGTGTCAAGGAACCTCCCTCGAGGGGGGGATGTAGTAGACTTCTCCAGTCGAGAAAGGTACCAAAGTCTTGCCCATGTGTCCTGCTTAACGTAACGATACCGTAGCACAGGTAAGAGTGCTCTCTCCTCTCTAAGTCGTCTTCTTTTCAATATATTCTCGTCCCAAGCTAATCTTTCTTGCTCTGTACTCCATAGCAATTTTTTTTCCTTCTCCCGGTCCTCCAATTAGACCATTCAATTTTGTGCGAGTTGCCATTCGTTTATTTCTGGCCAGTGGGTGACTGCGCAGCTCCAGGGATCGTTCATATCTAGACGAGTCACATCGTATCTAGATGAGTGTTGTGTTACCTCCAATGGAAATAAGACACTGACTTTTTTTTTTTTTTTTTTTTTTTGGGGGGGGGGGGTTATCCTACGTAATTTACACATATGTTAAACTAGGTAAAAATACCACATTGTAAGCGCTGTCATGTGCTTACACACACATCTTCCTCTGAAACTGTGTGTAAGCACATGACAGCGATCAGGTTTTATTTCGTATTTTCACTGTGGTATTTTTGCATATTTGTAGTCACGCGTTTTATTGTGATTTTTTCCACGTTAAACTATGCATAATAATTGTACATATATATATATATACCTGTACCTAAATAAACTTACTTGGTATCATTCTTAAATTATGTGAGCTGTGTCTGTTAACACATAAGACCTGAACAGACATTTATTTCCTGTTATTACTAAAGGGTTGTGTCCGCTTGGGTCCCGTGCAGTTTGTTGTATCCTGTGTTATTACATTCTTTCCTTCTTTGATAATTACTTTAATATTCTACATAACTCCCCATACTATTGTGCCCACGAACGAGTGATAATGATCATTAACAACACTGCGACTAGTCAAGGACTCGAACCCATGCTGCTTTGGCCTGCCTTATGGTGGGCGAAAACTCTTGACGCCTAAATCCACTGGACCATACAATCCTTAAAGAGTAACGCATCCAGCGGAACTGGATGTTGTACTCGCTTCCCAAGGACACACGATGGTGTGGATGACTCTAGGCTAATTTCATTCTAGTCCCTGTTTGGTGTACTAGTACGAGCAGCATTTTGTATTATTGTGCCCACGAACGAGTGGTATTGATCAATAACAACACTACGCTAATTTTAAGGGTTGTATAGTCCAGTGGATTAAGGCGTCATGAGTTTTCGCCCACCATGAGGCAGGCCAAAGCAGCATGGGTTCGAGTCCTAGGCTAGTCGCAGTGTTGTTATAACTCCCCATGTGTAATTACATATTTGTAAATATTTGTAGTTATAAGTACAGAGCTATGATTGGGGTGTCCCGTCTTCCGTATTTATTTAATCTATCACATAATATTTGTATAAATATCCAGTGGTTGTACTACCTCTTGTAAGACATTCCACTATATACAGAAACTTCTAATATCATTCTGAAGTTCTTAGTTTAAAACTTTAGCTTCTTGTTCTGCCAGATGATAGTGTTAGACAATCTTCCTTATGAATACTTTAGTGTGACTGTGAGGATTTTTTGCTCTATCATTATGAGACCTTCTCTGTTGCAGGCCTGTGGATCCCTCGCGAGTTAATCACACCATTAACACCTCCCTTAAGTTTCTCTTCGTGAGGCACCCGTTCCAGCGCCTTGTCTCCGCCTACAGGAATAAGCTAGAGGACTCCAACCTTCAGGAGGATGGTGCTTACTTCTATAAGAACTATGGAAGTAGCATCGTGCAGAGGTTTAGGAAGAGCAGAGAATCCGTGAAGGCGGAAAAAACTGCAGAAGTTAGAAGGAACAACACAGATGAGAAAAATAGTCTTCGGGATGTACACGAGAATAATGAGATAAAAACTAGACACAGAGTTACAAGTGATCGGAGGAAACAGGAGAATGACGGCGAAGGACGAAAGATGAATGATAATTTCCCCGAAAGAGAGAGGGAAAAGGAGGAGGATGAATATACTGAGTTCAGAAAGGAACCCACCTTCGAGGAGTACGTAGACTACCTCCTCAACACGGACGTCGACAGCTACGACGAACACTGGAAACCCATCTCGCGTCTGTGCCACGTTTGCGAGTTCAACTTCGACTACATCATCAAGTACGAGAACTTCAAGGAGGAGATCAACTACTTCGTGGAGATGCTGAAGGAGAGTGGGAGGCTGCCCACCAAGTTCCACCTTCAGTGGAAGAACCGAGGTGGGACGGACAGGGAGACAACGACCAAATACTTGAGCCAGGTGAGCCAACACAAGCGGTGGCTACTGTATGAGAAGTATTACGAAGACTTCTTGTATTTTGGCTACACGTTAGAAGATCATGTGCGACTATGATTTCTACACTGCACTGTATATACAAGTATAACTTTGAAAATTATATAATTGTGCTCATGTGATTAAACGTTTTATTTTTTTTAAAGTGTTTATATAGTTACCTGTTTAGGATTGTTATTCACGGGGCCTTGACACGTGACGTTTACCCTATTCAGTTTTGTTTTCAGCTCTTATTAACGTCCTGTAGGTACCCTTCGGTATATGTTACTGTGTTGACTATTAAATCACAAAAAGCAACATTAAGTCGATAATAATAATAATAATAATAATAATAATAATAATAACATAAAAACAATAAAATATATAAATAACCATGACGATGTTTACATGTGGCCTCGTGGCCCGGTGGCCTGGTGGCCTCGTGGCCCGGTGGCCTCGTGGCCCGGTGGCCTCGTGGCCGGTGGCCTCGTGGCCCGGTGGCCTCGTGGCCCGGTGGTCTCGTGGCCCAGTGGTTTCGTGGCCTCGTGGCCCGGTGGCCTCGTGGCCCAGTGGCCGGTGGCCTCGTGGCCCGGTGGCCTCGTGGCCCGGTGGCCTCGTGGCCCGGTGGCTTCGTGGCCCGGTGGCTTGGTGGCCTCGTGGCCTGGTGGCCCGGTGGCCTTGTGGTCTCGTGACCCGGTGGCCTCGTGGCCCGGTGGCCCGGTGGCCTCGTGGCCTGGGTTCGATTCCTGACGGGTGAAAACATTTCGACGTGTTTCCTTACACCTGTTGTCCTGTTCACCTAGCAGCAAATAGGTACCTGGGTGTTAGTCGACTGGCGTGGGTCGCATCCTGGGGGGACAAGATTGAGGACCCAATGGAAATAAGTTAGACAGTCCCGATGATGCACTGACTTTCTTGGGTTATTTTGGGTGGCTAACCCTCCGGGGTTAAAAATCTTATCTTCTAAATACTTTAGGAAGAGTAACGAGATCTTATGTACCTCATGTCTGGTCCAGAACTTGTGGCGTTATTTCTTGTGAATGTGCCAAGTCTCGTGCCTGCTACAACACTAGTGGAGTGACTTCATGTGAATCAGGCAGACCTTGTGTGTGATCCAGTCCCAGGATTCAGTACTTGTGGGTCTTAGAGACTGTATTCAAGAACTAGTTGAGTCACCTGGTGCTCATCATTCTCACCGGCTGTTTCTTATATAAACAAGAGTGGCCAAAACTGAGCACAGGAGCTGCCGGTGTTGTTCAAGTTCGTTATGTTGGTAACAACTGTTGACCTTGTGGAGAGTTTGAGGCCCAGTGAGCACCATGTGTACCCTGAAGGGTGAGGTGAATACCACGTGTACTCTGTTGGGCGAGGTGAACACCACATACATCAGGATGGGCGGGGTGAGCACCACGTGCACCAAGATGGGTGCAGTTTCTTAGTGAAGGAGGAAATATTAACTTTGTGATTCTGGATATGCAAGCGCTTTAGAACGCCACTTGCAAAAGGACATTATAACAGTCACTACAAATGATCCAAAAACTGCAAAGAGCTAAAATTTCCAGCTCTCCTCTGCGCGACTCTCATCCCACGGTCATTAACAACCATGATGCAGCAGATAACAAGGCAAAATCTGGATGTGGAAGACAGGAGGCTGAACTAGATCTGGGTACCTCACATCTCCTTGGTATAAACCATCCTTTTGCATTTATATAAGATCGGATATAAAAGTGATTACGGACAGCCTCAGACCCGAAAGTGACACATTCAAACAATGTTCAGGGCTGACACACACACACACCAGCGACCAGTGAAGAGGCGGGGCCAGGAGCTTGGACTCGACCCCTGCAACCTCGACTAGGTGAGTACACACACACACACACACACACACACACATCAGTGTGAGGCAGATAAAACCTGCTTCAAGGGAAGCACTGCCTGATCAACACTACACGCTGCAGAACTACATTAATGGAGTGCTCAGCTGTATGACTCTTACAGGTTCAGCGCAGCATCAAGGACTTCAAACACGCTTCACTGAAGTACTAACTCTGTTGCTACCTAACTAAAGCCTTTAGAACTCTGAATATTATCCTCACCATTTACGCTGAGTTTGCTGGTGCCGGACACAACCTGGGCATTGCATCAGTGGAAATTTTGTTACTATAATCACGGGGTGATGCTAGATCCTTTGAGGTCTTACAGCTCCTAGAGACTGGGAGGGGAAACAGATTAGATGTAAAGGGAAGGGTATCTCCAACTCCTACGATCAAGAGCTTTTCAATGGCATCAAGGCGTCCTCTGCAAAGGCAACAGAGCGTGAACAGTGAACCTGGGACAAGTGTGGCTGGTTTTAATAGTGCGTGTGTGTTGTATTGCACAGGTGTTGAGCCCGTGTCTCACACTGCTCATACAGATGTTCAGCTCTCTCTCCCTTATGTATATTTGTATGTATTATATATATATATATATATATATATATATATATATATATAATATATATTTGTATATATATATTTATATATGTATATATATATATATATATATATATATATATATATATATATATATATATATATATATATATATTATATATATATCTATATATATTATATATATATATATATATATATATATATATAATATATATATATATATATATATATATATATATATATATATATATATATATATATATATATATATATATATATATATATATATATATATATATATATATATGGTGAACCTACATAATCTTAACGTGTTAATATATAACATATATATCACTTCTATATTTTTCAAGTATGCATATATTGCGTTATATAAACAAATCATCATTATTTATGTCATATCTGATTTATGTGTAAAATTAAGCAACCTAAATCTTATATATGAAAAAAACTTAATGATGCGAATCTGAAACAAAAACATTTATCATTATTTCGTTTTATTTATGAAGTTAATATTTCCTCTAACTTTACAATTCTATATAATTTTTTTTTCTTATTCCTTCGTCCTGTTTTAAATATGTTGAATGCGTGTATAGTGTTCCTGTCATGTGTCTTCTTGAAGGACATTATCCGATGGAAGCTGGAAGTCCTTGAGGAATAAGAGTTGGTAATCCTTGATAAGTAATGACAACTAAGGCGCTGGATAGATTAAGATACAAACGCAAAAACTGACAACGTTTCGCCCGCACAGTGAAGTTGATTGAATCACGAATAAACGTAGCTTATTTCTACCGAAATAAGCCCACAATACTTGAGTAACACCTAGGTACCTACTTAGTACTCAGGGGCAACAGATACAGTGGAACCTCTAGTCACGACCATAATTCGTTCCAAAACTCTGTTCGCGACCCGATTTGGTCGTGACCCGAACTTATTATTATTATTATTATTATTAAAGATTAGCCGGTATTCTCCCGGCCCGGGCCTTTTCCAAGTGGTGGCCCGGCCTTGGCTCCCTCTTTAGGGAGTGTCTGAGACCTAAGTCTCCCATGGGAGGAGGCACAAGTACCTCCTCATCTTTGGGACCAACTGTCCCCAGGCCTAGCCACAAGCTAGGCCTCTCTGGTCTGCCATCCCCGCCCCAAGGGGGCTAATGGGAATGACAGTCTTATGAGCAAAAGGCTCGGACTCAGGCACCTACCCTACCCTAGAAGGGTTAGGCATGGTATCGATCTGACCCGAACTTAATTTCCCCACTGGAGTGTATGTAAATACAATTAATCCGTTCCACACTGCTACGAACTGTATGTAAATACTATTTTTTTTTAAGATTTTTAAGCAGAAAACTAGTTAATTATACCATAGAATGCACAGTGTAATAGTAAACTAAATGTAAAAACCGTGAATAACACTGAGAAATCTTTGAACCACAGAGGAAACTAACATTGCACGAGTCCTCGGAGTTTTAAGGAGTGTCTAATGGCTGAGCAGTGAACTCCGTTATTTATCGTCCGATTTCTTTCATTTTTGGTGTATGTTAAGAAGCATCTTTCCATCATACATTGCCCAAGTTTCAATAAGATAAGTCAACAATCAACTGCGAAAAAAATATTTACCCAAAATCATATATGGCAAGCCCTAGTCGGGTACGGGCACTGCAAGAAGCTGTTTCTGCACTACCTGCTGATACAACATTGCTAATCTAAATTTAACACGGTCATAATTACAGGAAGTGGGGAAAATTGGCACGTGCGAAAAAAAAAATGGCATGGAATGTGAAAATTGGAGCGGCTGTGTTTGTTCGGCACCCGATTATGTGTGTGTGACCAGATGCAAAAATTTAACGATTTTTTTTGGTCGTGAACCGATTTGTTGGTGTTCGTGACCAGTGATTCCACTATATATGGAAATCTTTCCAATCTCTCCGGGATCGAACCAGGGTTCCCTCGATTGTGTGACGTAAGAGTTACTACTAAGCCGTCGAGCATATATTATTACAGCGTGTTTTGTAAATAATGATATATAAAACGACTTCATGCAGACTAACACCCGAAGTTTACCTAAAGATTCTGGGGGGCCACTACCCACCTTTGCTCGGTCCCGGACCAGGACTCCCGAGTGATGGCCTGATCCACCAGGCTGTTAGTGCTACGAAGTCCTACTCAAGTGCTTCTTAAAACCAATCCAAAGTGGTCACTATTTTTGTGACTGAACTGATGTCTGTATAAATAACTCATCACGACTGTAACCAGATACGTAAATATACCCCTGAACGGATGGGATTCGAACCCATAGCAAACTGTTTACAATTATGTTATTACGATTTCGTGAATCATGAGAAACATGTAAACAGTTTACTACCACCGTAACTTGCTTACCTATCAAAATTCTGAGGCCCTTGGATCCATTATGTTCAGCTGTAATAGCTTGACTGTCGCCCACATCATGGGTGTGGGCGACAAAATAAAAATATTAAACTAAAAGTGGCCAGGGCACTTGTCTTATCTCTCTCATCCTGTCCACCCACAAACTGAATCACTTCTCTAGCCTACCCTGTTATTCCACCTCCCTATTCTAGCCAGCGGTCTTATAGCCTACTAACCCTCCCGCCCTCTTAAAAAAAAGCTATCCTCGTGGATAGTTGTATATTCTTGTTTACTCTCTTGAAACACGAGAAGGTTTTTGATACAAGAAATTCGAGTTCCTCTTCTCCTTTCTCGGATATAAACAGGTTACCTTGCCAGACACTATGACTCCTACGGATTTAGCGCTTCCCGATAATAATATCCTTCAAG